CCCCCGCCCCCCCCCCCCGCCCGGACGTGCAAACTTCCCCAAATCAGAGTCAACGTTGACATTCAAGCAGGGGAGGCAAACATTTCCACCCACCGGGGAGAGAGGAAGGTTGACGGCTCCTGCAGACAAAAGATCCAGGTGTTCTCAGAGGCCTCTCGTGGTCTTCCCAAGCAAGGCTGATGAACACAGAAAGAGAGAGGCGCCCCTTCCCCTCCAGCCTGCCCCCCCCAACAGGTTTTAAGCAAGAGAGCGGAGGAGGAAGACGGAGGGAGAAGAAAACCAGGCAGATGGCAAAGAAATTCCAGACGCGCCAGCGTCAAGATGGCGTAGAAACCGCAGGCCTGGAGGGAGAACACCCACCCTCCCTTGCACACCCAACTCTCCCAAACCCCAAATGCCACCTCTTTCACTCCCGAGGAGGGGAAAAACAAATTTCAAACAGGTCGAAATACTGCTCTGCGGGTTCCTTAGAAAAGAAGCAATCAGCTCCCCCCGCAAGACCCCAGACCCAAACAATACCTGTTTTTTCTTTGATTTCGCAGAGGACGGTGAAGAGCGCCGGCTTCATGCGGTGACAATTCAGCGTGTGCTTCCTGCAGTTGAAACAGCGGGAGAGAGAGCAGATAAACCCAACGTTGCCGTTCTGTTCCTTTTTTGAGGTTGGGAAGAGGGTAGGATTTCAAGAAAATGTAGGAAGAATATTCAGTTGGGTCCACAATCACTCATAGGCCTCGCTCTGCTGAATTAGTCTGTTTCCACATCTAGCAGAGTTCCCCCCCACCAGCAATTCCCAGTGTAATTCCAACATCCGGATTCCCCCAGCAATAAAAACGTGCATTTCCTTCCATTATGGAATGGTTTATCAAAATGACGGGGTATGTTACACGGGCAGTTACATGGGAAAACTTTTTCTTTCATCAAGAACTTTTCAATAGCCACAGAATAATGAACCATATATGCGTCTACTGCAAGAACAATACAGATTAGCAGTAAAACCAAGGCTTTGATGTTTTATCAGTTTTTCTCCTGGTTTAATTCCATATAAAACCTTTTTTTAAACACAAACACTCCGCTTTCTGATACAAAAGGGCCCTCACTGAAACAGGATTCTCCATTTTGGATACACAATTCACCCCACTTCTAAACAATAACCCAATTCACAAAACACTGCAATCATTTTTGCAAATTAAAACTGTCCAGAAAGAGAACGAAGACCTGAATCTTACACAACATTGGATGTACATGAATACATCTTTAAGCAAACCCGCACAGGGTTCATCTCGTATGACACCCAAAATGGAGTAATCACACTTGAAATTATGAACCTTCCACACCAAAACACCAACTTTTTTTGCAGCCCAAACTAAAATCGAGATCGACAGCCTCTTTTCTCTTTGGAGTCTTGCAAGCTTCACCTTCTAGCAATTCAACACAAAAACTCTTCATGTGCACAACCTGCTCTTCAGCCTACTAGAACTCATACTGGATTTAACAGACACACAGCCACAAGTCAACTGAAACCCATCTTCTGAAAGAAACTACAGCACTACTGCACGGCTCTTCAGACACACCAGAGCTTCAAACCACATCTCAGAAGCCATGCCTGGCCAACGGCATTGCAAAACCATGGCTCTTTAAAGAGAAAACAGCAACCCAAACACCTCCAAAGTTAAGCATTCTGAAGTTGCAGCCTTAATACCAGGCCAGCGCATCTCCCCTTTGGGAGAAACCAGCCCGGGGTCACTCCAGATCAGAATGTACCCGTGTAAAAAATTACTGAATATAATCATCAGTACTGAAGTGTAACAGAGAAGCTATCAATCCTCCATCAGAAGGGGAGAACAGGATAGAGGCGCAAGATGATTTAGAAAGGGAAGCTGGACAATGAGTGAAGAGAAGAGAGCGGAATCTGTGGGGGCTGTTAATTTGGGGAGTGAACCCCATAGTTTTTCTCTAATCAGTTCTTGGATCTTAACTGCCAAGGGTTCAATCCCTGTTTATTTCTCTTGCCACTTCAGACAGATCCACCGTATTAATACATCTGTATCTAATCCTATCTTACAGTTCCCCAAGCCAGCAGCCCCTTTTGGGTTCCTGTTTTCCAATGCGAACGTACTTCCAGGCCTCTGGCGATCCCAGCCAGACTCCACCACAAAGTTCCCGGAAAGTGATCCCTTTCTTCGCAAAGTCCACCTTTCTTCCCCTTTTCCGAAGAGTACCCTCCCCCCACTCCGGCACTTCCATTTCTACTTTCTGCCCCAAAGCCGGATCTGGCTTCCAGGAGCTGCCAAGCCAAGCTTTTCCAGAGCAGCCATAAAAGTCCCTGGGTCGGGGACCCCGTCCCAGCCCTTGATTTCCAAGTCTCCATCAGGCGCTCCGTTCCAACCAGGCACGCAAGGCAGAAGCCCGGCGGACGAGGCGAGCGCCGGGGGAAACCCCAGCCCACCCACCCAGGGCCTTCTCT